GAAGCCTCCTCTAGTTCTCTAGCTCTAGTTCTAGTTTGGAGTTCGGTTCTCTTCCTCTTCCTCTAATTCTTCGGTGACGATTAGCTCTAGATGGCGAAGCAATTCCAGATCATGAAGCCCGAATGCTTGTAATCTTTAGAGAGGCCATGCTTTCGGTCTTCGGTTCGAGGGATCGTTCATGAATAGTTCGAGGGACTTCAAGTACGATCTACACCAACTCTTCTTCCCCTGCAATTCAGAGTTGGTAGCGATTCGATCTAAACCACTTATTCATCATCGTAGTGTTCCTAGTGTGATCGCAGGACATATTTTTTTTCTACTATGTTCCCCAACAATCTTTTCCTTCTTCTTCTTCTTCTTCTTCTTCTTCTTCTTGCTCGGATTGGGATTTGATGTTGTCCCAACTTAAAATGAAGGACCGGTTGGATCCCCCAATTCGTACTCCATTTGGGTCGGATCTTGATTATTATTGATCATGTCCAACATGATCAACTCCTAATGGTCAAGCATTCATCAAGTCCGAAATGAACTAGCGGTATATGAAAAACATTGAACATGGCATATGCAAAATTGATCGGACAGCAGCAACAAGAACATACCGAGTCTTGCTATGTCATTCTGTTGAACAGGACGAGGGTAGCCCAGGCGCCGTCGGTGCCCGTGCTTGTCCGCACCCGAAGTAGCTGCGGTGAGTGACAGACGTCCACCGTTGACATTTGGGTGGGCGAAAAGCTCTCCAGAATTCCCCAACCGGTCGTCGGATCCTCCTGTGTCCCAACCTGGTCCGACGGTGCGGTCCTTGGCGACGAGTAGATGGATGGGGTGCGAGGTCCCGGCGTGGCGTGGGGGGAGGGGGAGCGGCTCATCCATGTCCGCATCCGCTCCCTGCAACGCCAACGCTTCCCTCTCTTGCTGCCTCCATCGCTGATCCCTCCGGGCGACGTTCTCCGGCTTGCAGGACGAAGCCGAGGATGGGACATCGATGGACGAGGCGGACGCAACCTCTATTGCGGCGGTTGGGGACGGGCCAGACGACATCTAGTGCGACGGATCGGGACCGACAGCGAGGGCTCAGATGCGGAAAAGGCAGGAGGGGGAAGGGTTTAGTAGATTTGGTGCAATCTGTGGTGGGGTAGGCTTGTCGGGTCCAACGTGGCGGACACACCCGGGTCTCTCCATATTAGCCCCATATTTTGGGCTAGATATGAGGGTGTGCCTATCAGCCTGGACGTCTGAGGCCCGTTTGAGGCGCTCGTCTAGGTCATTTTTTTGACCGGTCACTGACCGGGCCGTCTGCCCTAGCATTTGAGGCGGGTTTGGGGCGGCCGATTGTGGATGCTCTAAGGTGGGTGTTTTACCTATACATGGTGACATGATGACTTGGTATAGTTGCGTGTTAAGAAAATCAGAGTTAGGTGGGATCAACTATTTAGTATAAAGAATTGGAATATATCATAGGAGTTCACTAAAGTATTGACAATTTATACGTTGATCCTTTTAACTTGAATTCAACGATAGTTGTTCCACACAATGTACATGCAACTATCGTATAAATTGTAATAAAAAATAGTTAAATTGAAATTCAGAAAACTTGGAAATAAAATATTTTGGAACACAACTAAGACTATAGTTCAAAAAAAAATTATAAGTATTACGTAACTTGAAGTTAAAACAAATGAGATATAATTTACTTACTTATTAACATTTGGGACAGGTCATAGAATTATTTTATAATAGAATGTGACCTGGCGTCCATGTGGCGTCTGAGTCAGCTGCCATGTTAGCCTAACATGTGGCCTGAATAAATTTTGGTAAAAAGGGTAAGTCGTGTAATACAACAGAAGTAAAGAGGATAAATGTTACACCTAAAATCATGTAACTGCTGACACTCTGCATTTATTCGGAGGTAAAAGTGGATTCTACTTGAAAAACCTAGCCCAGTACGTTTCACAGAATTTTGACAAGCCAGGCCTACTTTGCTGCTGCCAAGGTGCCCTTTGATTCGAAACGTAAATCAACCAGCTGGGTCAGGAACTGTACTGCCCACAGCCCTACACCAATGGCTGCTCAACAACTCAAGCATATGAACAGGTACCCCGTATCCAACACCGAGAATCCTGCTTCCATGAAGCCCAAAAGGCATGCCCATAAACAAGCCACAGTGCCCCTGCTCCAATGGCCGAGACCCAAGACCTCACCTCACCTCAACTCACCCATGAGCTGTGCGTGCTCCGTTGCAAAGACAAAGGCATCGCGCTTTGCAGCATCAGATAAAAGAATTCCGTCTGCGGCTGATCGATCCCCTCTTATCCGGCATCGCGCGTCCATGCATGAGCCACGGCGACGACGGAGATTTGGTCTGTTTCTTTTTGGCCGGATGGGGACAAGTCCGCGGATCGCCGCGATGAGCTCTTTTGGCCTGTCCATCGTCCGTTTCGGTGCCGTCGCATAGCAGCCGGTCCGTTCCGCGTACCAAGAAGCGCGTGTGTGTGTTTCCGCCCGTGAGATAATGCCTGAATATTTCATATCGTGCGCGTTAGGTGCCCACAGCCCACTCACACTTCTCTATACTGTTTGTTTATTAGTATCAGTACGTACGAGTACGGATCGATTTCAGACCGGCCAGTTACCACTTATTACCACACGGTTCAGTTCTATGTACTAGTAGTATTAGTTTAGGATCATCGTTTTCTAACAAGCCTAGATTTGGTACCTCTTACCTGTACTTCTGTTTTGAAGGGAGTCACTGGAGCAAGGCATGTGATGGTCGAATCTATGCCCTGTGATCTCTGCTCTCCACACTGCACTGCTCTGCTCTGCTAGCTAGGGTATGCAAAAGCAGGGGAGCTTTCCAGCAGCAGATTTGGCGCTGCCGTCTTTTTGAACAGCACGCCAAGAATCAGGAGGCATATCTATCTATCTATCTTGGCATATGGGGAGCTAGTATTCCTACATAAGCCATCTATATTGTGGCTTGCTAATTACTAGCATGCAACTTGTGGTGCAAAATCTGTCAAATATATCTCCGTTCCGAATCATTGATCACATCGTTCATAATAGGCATCCGATCTGCCGCATGTACGAATGTACTGTCCCGTTGCACGATCTAGATGGTCCTCCATCCATCGACATTCCTGGTACGTGCTGGGAGTACAGAGTACTACGTAGCTAGGGTACCTGCCTCAGCTCTCCCGAGAGAGAACCAATACCTGCACGGGTGTCGGGTGCACCGTGTCACTGTCTGCGCCAGAAACGAGGACAGGTAAACACATCAATTCCACTATATTTAGGGGGCCATCAAGTAGTTATCCTGCCGTGTGGCTGTGGTTTTAGCTGTCGCACAAGCTCCTCACTGATAGGTCATCCAGAAAAAAAAACAAAAAATAACTCACCAATATAGATAAAGCAGTATATCTCAGTCAAAACTTGGGTCAGGAAACAACTTCCCTCTATCTGAACGTCTCTGCCTCAGTCAATCCGCAACACAAAAACAACAATAAATTGTTGACCTGGAAGCTGACCGCTGGTCGAGATTTCCAGCAAAGCAGAACAAGGAACACACATCGTACATGGACCTGCCCAACGATTAGAGCAAGTCAATCCATATCCATATCCATACGCCATCTGATGCATGTGTGTGCACGCGCCTTTTGGCCCTCCCAACTCAGCAGCAGCTCCTCACACTCACACGATCGCGGGCGGCACTGCACACCTGCACTGCGCTGCCACTATGGAGCGATACCGACCCCGAAATTCCGACGTGAAAGGGAAGGCCACTAGCTCAACGCCCCTTTCGGCATTCGTTGATTCACAACTCGCAAGAGAGAGCAGAGTCATGGCCGTGCTGTGCCCCGCCGCCTATAAATAATGCCCCGACCACCAACATGGCATTTACCTACGCAGCACAGCAGCAGCAGAGCAGAGCTTCGCCATTCAGCTAGAGTGGTGCTACCTACCTAACCCGGTTGACCCCTAGAAAGCATGGACGTTGAGAGCTCCGCGGCGCATGAGGTCTCCGTCGACTGGCGGGGCCGCCCCTGCGAGCCGGGCCGGCACGGCGGCATGCGCGCCGCCGTCTTCGTCCTAGGTACGTCGTGCTCCTACTTATACATCAAGTTGGCTTGTTATACGGAGGAGCGATGGAGCAATGTCCATCCAATCCATGGCGCGCGCGCGCGTGCTGACTGGTGAGGCTGATGTGCAGGCATCCAGGCGTTCGAGATCATGGCGATCGCGGCGGTGGGGAACAACCTCATCACGTACGTGTTCGGGGAGATGCACTTCCCGCTGTCGGAGGCGGCCAACGTGGTGACCAACTTCGTGGGCACCATCTTCCTCCTCTCCCTCCTCGGCGGCTTCCTCTCCGACTCCTACCTCGGCTGCTTCTGGACCATGCTCACCTTCGGCTTCGTCGAGCTATCGGTACTACTCCTGCTTCACTACCGCATATGCGTAATCTCTCTATCAATCTATGCTCACCAATGGGTGGCCTGCGCGTGTTTCATTCAAGTTCAAGACAAGAAGATGAGGAAGATGGAACGTGTGAGGGTGTTTTTCCTTTGCGACCGACCGATTGACTGTTGTTTTCACGTAAAGGGAGATGAACTTGGATGGGCCTGATAAAAAAAGGCTCCAATCACCATGCATGGACCCGGTTTTGGGACCAGGTTGAATTCAACGCACGCAGCATGACTCGTAATTAGGAGTAGTTTTTGTTTTCTGAAAGCAAAGCGAGTACAACTACACACACACGCCAGTGGGAATTTGTTTGTTGTTGTTGTTGGGGCTTGCCTGAAAACAACATGTCCAAACAAAGTTGTGCTAGTGTTACTTGCCTACTTTACTTGGCACTCTCACAATCCCAGTCATTTTTTTCTTTTACCTTAAAAAACCCCATTAATGGAAATATGGAATCGAATAAAAAAATATTTTCATTAAGAATATTTTTTTAAAGAAGGAAAGCCCCGGCCTCTGCATTAGAATGATGTATGGAGCCATTTTCATTAAGAATATAATCGGAAATACTAGTACTGTTTTGCAATGGATTTTTATTGGTAGGTGTTTTCTTTTCATCTGTCCTCAGGGCTTCATACTACTGTCAGTGCAAGCACACCTTCCGCAGCTGAAGCCGCCGCCGTGCAACATGGCGTCCATGGACGGCAGCTGCGAGCAGGCCAGGGGCTTCAAGTCCAGCATCTTCTTCGTCGCGCTCTACCTGGTGGCGCTCGGCAGCGGCTGCCTCAAGCCCAACATGATCGCGCACGGCGGCGACCAGTTCTCCGGCTCCGACAATGCCAAGAGTCTCTCCACCTACTTCAACTCCGCCTACTTCAGCTTCTGCCTCGGCGAGCTCGTCGCGCTCACAGCGCTCGTCTGGGTGCAGACGCACTCCGGGATGGACGTCGGCTTCGGCATCTCCGCCGCCGCCATGGCCGCCGGCCTCATCAGCCTGGTGTCCGGCGCGGCCTTCTACCGGAACAAACCTCCTCAGGGCAGCATCTTCACTCCTATTGCAAGGGTAACAATAATCTTCACTTCACTATAGTAATTAAGTCAGTAATAACTCAATGATTGTAAAGACGGACATGTTAATGGTCTTTCCTACAAAAAAAATCAACTGGCTGAGTGCTTGTGTTCTGACAAACTTTGCGCGTTCAAAAAAATTGGACGAAGTTTGGACCGTTAGGTTAGTGGCAGGTTGCTGTATGACAGTATGTCAAACATCTCCTTTCTGCTAAAAAATCCTTTTCAGAAATTTCCAAGATACTGCAGCATATGCAAGAATTTTGGCCAAGACCAATGATCTGATCACATTACTATATCCCTCCCTCTAGTACTCTATGGTTAGATTAGCTATTCTTGAAATAGTAGGTAGACTTAGTTTCGTCATCATTCAGTCAGTCAGCTGTTCTTGCATTATGCTCACCTTGTCACATTCAACAGTTGTGCAATTTGGGGCCATATGATAGGTACAAGTAGTTTACATTTTTGCCTGCCGATCAGATCTAGTCAGATACACCTAGCCAGAAACGATGTGCTCTCTGCAATGCAAGTTGTGTCTGTGGTGCAGTTCTTAAAGGTTTGTCACTTATTGACTGTTAGGATGTCAGTTCTGTGCGCAGCGGTTTTGGTCCTGTTGATAACGACAGAACTGACTGCGGATTATGTATGCTGAATCACGTGTGCTGATGTGCGCACTTGCATTATTCAGCATTGGTTCGAGATGACAGGCTCTCTCTGTGCAAACAATGATAAAATATTGGGCCGTGCTTTATGCTGTTTTTGTCAAACGAGGTTAACATCATTTTGACACAGAAATGTAGAATTGGACTTTTTTTTTGTTAACCAAGATACAATTGCGTGGCAATATCATTTACATCAGATTTGCAACTTGCTGTTTTCAAAAGAAAGAAAAAAACTGACGAAGTTGCTGCGAACTGATAAATTCTGCAGGTGTTCGTCGCCGCCTTCACCAAGAGGAAGCAAATCTGCCCTACCAATACTGGCAACGCCGGAGTTGGCGAGCCGGCACGCCTCGCCGGCAGCTTCCGCCACGGCAACAAATTCAGGTGGAGCGCCGCATCCATCGTTCTGGTGACCAGATTGCTCTGAGTTGTCGTTCTGCGGCCTGACTGACATGCTGTGAAACAATGTACGCAGGTTCTTGGACAAGGCGTGCGTCAGGGACGCGGCGCAGCAGCAGGGGGGCAACACGAAGCCGGAGAGCCCATGGCGGCTGTGCACGGTGTCCGAGGTGCAGCAGGCCAAGACCCTCCTCGCCGTGACGCCCATCTTCGCCTGCACCATCGTGTTCAACACCGTGCTGGCGCAGCTGCAGACCTTCTCGGTGCAGCAGGGCAGCGCCATGGACACCGTCCTCGGGGGCGCCTTCCGCGTCCCGCCGGCGTCGCTGCAGGCCATCCCCTACGCCATGCTCCTCCTGCTCGTCCCGGCGTACGAGCTCCTCCTCGTCCCGTTCATGAAGAGGCTCACCGGGACGCGCTCCGGGATCACCCCGTTGCAGCGCATCGGGGTCGGCCTCGGCACCGTGGCCTTCTCCATGGTCGCCGCCGCCACCGTCGAGCGCCGGCGCCGCGACCTGTCGGCGTCCGGGGGGCGGATGTCCGTGCTGTGGATCGTGCCGCAGTTCCTCGTGTTCGGGGTGTCGGAGATGTTCACCGCCGTGGGGCTCATCGAGTTCTTCTACAAGCAGGCCTGCGCCGGCATGCAGTCCTTCCTCACCGCGCTCACCTACTGCTCCTACGCCTTCGGCTTCTACCTCAGCTCCGTGCTGGTGACCACGGTGAACAGGGTCACGGCGAGGCACGGCGGCGCCGGCGGCTGGCTCGGCGACAACGACCTCGACAAGGACAGGCTGGACCTCTTCTACTGGATGCTCGCTGCGCTCAGCGTGCTCAACTTCTTCTGCTACCTGGTATGTGCAAGGTGGTACAACTCTGGTGCCGATGGCTCTGATGCTGCCTCGGCTCAGATTGCAGCAGAGGGTGATGCCAAGGAGATCAGCTGAACACCTACTACATGGAGACTGAACCTGTATATGCGTATAGATATATGTAGAAATGCATGAAAAGTAGTGACGGGGAAAGAAGTGCTAGGTTAAGAAGAAGGTTTCCTTCGATAAGGAATAGAAAGTACATTAGCATGGCTAAGAAAGTACTTTAGCATATGTATGCTAGTTCTACTACCACAAAGCATAGTCTTCAGTAAAAACTTATTTCAACATAGCGAATGAAGCAACAGATAGCAGACTAGCACAAACCTCACTTGGCATGAAACAAGAATCAACCAAATTTCAGAACACATAATGCATGCAAGATGTACATATCATAGCCAAGCATACAGAATTCAATCTAAACTCAAAACAAAATCTTGTTCAGGTCTTTCACGATGCTCGATAAGTAGTACTACTAGCAGTTACGGAGTTTCCAGATAGCGAAGCATACAGAATTCATACATGCTGCAAATTTTGTCCAACAGTCCAAGGACACCATCTTACAGAATGATGCATTTGCTGCTAGATTTGTTGGCCTCTTCTTCAGCCTTCTTCAGGCTATCCTTCAGTGCATGAATCTCTTCTCTCAAGCTGTTCTCTACGGCTTGCCTTTCTTTCTGCTCTTCGTGCAGCTGGGTTTCCAGCCTTGCAATTGTACTGTTTAACTTTTCCTCCACCTATAAAGACAGGTTCCAAACCGTATTTAATCTATTAAATTATTAAAACAATAAGAAAAGTATACTTCTCACTTGATTTTGTTAATTATAATATATTTAAAAGTAAACGTAGGTGATCATAGATGTTTGTATCCAATACTGTGACATACTATTAAGCTACAAATCGGCCGGACATGTCATCAATTACATCAGAAAACAGTGAGAGTCCAATTGGTCTTTTCTTTTTTTCCTCACTCTAGTTCAAAAAAGAGCGTATTTTCATCAGTTTTTTTATTGTCTATGGCCAAATATGGTTTCTTGAAATCCCTAGGATACACAACTTCATGTCCAATTGTTTGATGACTTTCATTCATACTGCATCAAAACATATGAGCTTTATATAAATAGATTCATTTTACAATTTATAGAGACGCAAATATATATATATATATATATTATATTATATTATATCCTATATAGTGTAGCAGTGTGACCTATGATAGGTACACCCAAAACTGTCCCCAGAATATCCTACATGACTTGCATGCCATTGATTTACAGCATCGGACGGTGTTAAATGGGCGAAACCCTAACGAATGCTACTGTACAACCGCGAATCCCTGCATTCCTGGCCGTTTTTTTTTAGAAAAGGAGGATGACCCCCGGCCTCTGCATCTGGGAGATGCATACGGCCATTTTATTGATTATTCTCGAGGACCTTACAAAGTAGTACAACAATATGCCTGAATCCGCCATCTTGGCAACATCTGCCACTACTCCTATCCATATGATGAAGGGGGTGCAAGCTGGACCAAATACCCAGACCTCTCACCTAAGCCTAACATCTAAAGCCGGAGGCCCCGACCGAGCCACATACCGGGTTCGGGGCACAATCCGGTCTGACGCACTCACATGTGTCGTCGCCGCCATCTTCCACTAGTCCATCTTCAGAGCAGATTGAGGTGCCAACCTTGGTAGGATCCTCCGCCATCGACGCCATCAAGGCACCAAACGACGACCACCATCTACGCTAGTCCATCTCCAAGCAGAAGGAGCACTACCACAGGACGAAGACCGGCGGAGAATAGGTGAAACGCTGCACACAATGCCGCCGCCAAACACCTCACACGCACCGCAAAGCACCCACCATGCTTCCGAGGACCCCAGGCGACGCCTTCAAGAAGGAGCGCGACGAGGGTACGACGCCGTCGCTCGCAAGGGGAACTAGAGCTTTCGCCCAAAGGAAGATCACGGTGAAGGACGGGAAAGGACCTCGACAAGGCCTCCAAGAAGGGGACCGACGCCCAGCAAAGACGCCGCCATTGTCGTGGCCTCCGCCGACGGCCAAGGGTTTCCCCCGGTCCCGCCCCCATCCCATCCACCCAGCCAAAGACTGGCCAGTGGAGCGCACGCAGCCGGAGAAAGCGTTGGACTTCATCGCAGCAGGCACGCCGGGTGACGGGGCACCCCAGCCCACTGTAGTAGACGTCCACCGAGACCTCGCCGCCCGCACGGCCGAAGTCGCGGACCACCAGCACCCACGACCGTCGCCCGCCGAAGAGGCAACACCGTCCACACCGCCCGAGGCCGCCGCCCCGGCATCCATCCACCGCACACATCCTGTCGAAACATGAAGAACGACCCACACCACCGCCACCAGGGAGCACCACACCGCGATCATCCAAGCCGGGCCGAGGCAAGGCCACGCCGGCCAGATCTGGCGGATCCGGCAAACTGCGGCCCACCAGCCGCCAGATCGAGCAAGGCGACCGGATCTGATGGGCAGAGCCGTCCCCGGCGATAGACGCAGGGCGACAACGCCGGCGGCAGCCGCCACAGCGGGCCGGCCTCGGCGGCCACCAGGGAAAGCGGGCGGCGGCGCCCGATGCGGGGTGGGGGGCGGGCTCTCCAGAGGTCGAGGCAGGTGCGCGAGGAAGCCCCCGCCGCCGCCTACCGCCGCGCGGGCAAGCCCGACGACGGCTGCCGGCGGCGGCGGGGAGGGAGGAGAAGGGGAGGCGGGGGACCGGCGGCGCCTAGGGTTTCGCCCCCGGGTCGCCCGAGAGCGGAC